CGGGGAAATAAAAAATTTCAACGTTTGCAAATTTATAAACAATTTCCAACTTTTGCTGATCTAAAGAGGAGAGAGTCTCCCTCTTTTGCTTTTGCTTGATCTAAAGAAGAGAGAAGTTCCAGAGCCGAAAACTGCGAATTAACAATTTGGCAGCAATTCACAATTTTATAAACAAATTCGCAGTATTACGAGTTACAAATTGATTGCTATAAGTTAGTATACTTCTTGCTAAAATTGTAAATGTTTACTGGTCGATTGACGGAAATTCTCACGGAAACCATCGCTCAGAAATATTTTTTCGTCATGGTGTACGCGAATCTCTCCTTCGGGAGGGAAAGATGACGATATTTTCGCCTCATACCTAAATAATCGAGGCCCCGCCCCGGGTAAAGCGGCCTTCTCCCCCCCCCCCGGGTGGTTTGCATACACACTGATATTCTGACCGTAGGATTGGTCAACGCGCCCCTTTGCCAGATCGAAGGGTTTATCTGGACGGTTGGGAAGATAGAATTTCACCCGCTGTTTGTGGAGGTACTTTACATACATGAAAATACGCAAAATGGGACACAAAATTGTATTTCAATTTTTTTAAACATGGCGCCCCTCTCAGAAATATCTGAAAAGTTCCAGAAGATAGTTGATTTTTTAGGCGACAATTGAGAATTTTCTCGTGCACTCGCCGAAATCAAACGTTTTTTAAATTCCAAATTTTGCAAACCTATTTAAAAGTTTAAATTTTGCGGCCAATATAATTTTAAAAAGTGTTTTTGAAACAGTGAGCAAATTTCACATAAATAAGCTATATGTTTCAAAGAAATATGCTGCCTGTTCAATGAAAATGGTAAAATAAAAAGAACACATTTTTTGTAATTTCGAAAGATGTGAGGGGAGAGGAATCTAAAAGTCCTTGAAAAAATGTTTTTCGTGTTCACATTCCTTAGGAAAAATTTATTTTCAATTTCTATCGGGGGCAATTTTTACCATGTTATCCGACTAGATCCTTTTAGATACTAATTAAGGGAAATCAGCTCGTTAAAAAAGTGATAATGGCCTTTTTTATAGTGCTGATTGTTTACAATAGACTTTGCTTCAAGCAAAAATTGCAATATCCAATTTTGTACTTTTCAAATGTTCACTTCTTTGACATTTTTGAAAAAAATGGAACAAGAGTCGAAAATGGGAATAGCACCTTATTTTTACTGCTTCTTATTATATATGAGGAGAATATTTTTAAAAGAAAAGTGGTTTGATTGTATTGCTTGATGATGATGATTGTCGATATTTCGCCAAAATTACACGAAAATTACATGGAAACTACTCATATTTTAAAAAAATTGAACTCTTTTTAAAGATCCGTCTTTAAGGAACAGATTTCATGCAAAAAATCTCTATCTTCAATATTATAATTGCAGGAAGTCGTCCCTTCTCCAAACAATTGCGCGTTTTCAATTTTTTTGAAATATTTTAATGACTTTAACGAACATGATACCACCCCCATTACATCTTAAGTGTTCTCTACACTATCCGAGAACTAAGTTTGATTAAAACACGAATGTTGAAGAAAATGGGCTGGACGGGTTAAATGCTAGCGTTGACCACAGACAGGCAGTACTTTCGGCATCATTCGATTTTTCGGTATCAAAGAACCACAATATGGATTCTGGCAGCACCGCGTGTCAGAGGATTTGTTTCCTAAATTTAGCAACAGGAGATATCCACTTTTTCGCCATGAGCGCCCGACAATAATAAGTTTCTCTTCCTAACAAAGAACTTCGTAAGGAGATTAAAAAAAATGAGCCATTTTTGAAAAAAATTGAAAGTGTCTCAGAGGTTTCAAGTGAAAAACCTCGAAAATATAAATAATTATTTTCAAAATCCCAGAACCTTCCGGCGGGCCAAATCGATCAAGAAATGTTAATTTTGGCAAATAAATACGAACCTTACAAATATTTTACGCACTAGTGTCATGCGCAGGCAGACGGATAAAAGTTTGAAAAAAAACTAATTTTCGGTATCAGAAGTTATCTGTGGATATAACGTGTAATTCCAATGAAATATCGAAATCGAATTACCGCAGCATTGAATAACTTTTTATATCCTACGTTCAAGTATATCACTCGGTATATACGAAGCAAATATTCGAGAAGTTAAAATAATAAATTAACTGTTCACAGGGGACCGAGAAAGTTTTCTGATTTATTAACATCTTGAAGCTTCGAGCGATGTTTCGTTTTTTACTTGTTTAGAATGCCTCATATTAACATCTCCAAATATGTGTTTCAAAGTGGCCAGTATCTTAGAATACTAATTACAAAAACCGAGAGTCTGCTCCTCTGCATGCAGTTTTATTGCGTATATACTGTAGCAGTTGGCCAATATACACATTGGAAACCCCAATGTAACATAATTGTGAAAATGATATAGTATTCTGATCGAATCAGTACGGACATTGAAAGACTTCTCGTAGATAAAATCTCGAAATTTTATTACTTTTCATAGGGTCAAATTCTGAGAGCCAAATTTTATTAATGATACTCAAAAATATTCAAGTAGTTTCTTTAATTTCCATAAAACTCTACAAAATCATTTGCCAATAAAACTAAGCTGACATGCTTTTCTACAAACCATTGAAAGGAGATGTGAACGTATTCATCCTAACAGTCGTTAAAACTAATAATAAATCGTGTAATTGATCGAAGTCTCTCCCGAAAAATCATGAAAGCTGGAAATGGCTACTTTTATATTATCCCTTTATAATGAGTTGCAATTATAACACTTTCAAATAGTACGAGAATGTTTTTTCTGTATCGTAGTATCACAAGTTTTTTAACAAATAAAAATAGTCAATTTATTGAACAAAGAATTATAAAAATTCTTATCAAAACATATTTTATTAATCACATTTTACTCAAATATAACTTTGAAAATAGTCTCTGTGTTAGTAATTCTGTAACATATTAAAGGGTGTTCATAAACTAAAACATCACATACGAGTATTCCAGACTTGGAATTGGGGATGAGAAATTACCCAAATTATATAAATAATATTTTCTTGTTTTACATTACGGGTCTAACCCTTTTTAAATTTAGATTTATTGAGCCAAAAACACTAAAAATTGTATGTGACGTACGGGGGAGAATATAATCTGCGCACGTTTTCTTGAGTTCCAGAATTCCTTCTGATTATTTTAACTAAAAATAGTTGAAAGACGAGTAGAAGTTAAAGATAAATAAAAATAAAATTTTAAAAAAGTGCGAGATTAGATATTTAAAAAACTTTTTCGTTCCCGAGTTATAGAAAACTTATTTGCAACTAAACGAATTGCATATTTTATTTTCTGCATTGCTAATAAAATAGTAACTCGCCCTTACCTGTACTCCTACAACTGCAAGAAAGAGAAGAGTTCAACAAAACGTGCGTTTATTCATCCTACATTTACGCCCAAAAGCAAAACAAGGGACCATCTCAGCATTTGCTCAATGTATCAGGGAAACTGGACAAAACCTGATCGAGATGGTGTCGTTGACCCGGAAGCAGAGGTACATTATTTATTACAAGCATATTACATCTTTTTGGAAAAAAATATACAATACAAATGTAAACTAATTCATTACATAGCACTGTTTTGTTAAATAAACATTATTTTTCTTTTTGTTGAACAGTATAGTCTCCAATTGTAAGTAAACATGTGTATAAAGGCAGGTACATAAGTTTTCAATAAAACATCCGGAAATTCATCTAAACGAACGTTTCAAACGTTTTGCTCTCTTCCCGATGACAATAAATGCATGGTTATAAATGAGCGGTGTCGTACATCGGAGGGTCATGAACAGAGTAACAATAATAGAGTAGAATCATGTGCCGACAGCCATTGAGATTTTAATAATCGTGTTCTTGATCGAAATCATGAGCGTACATGTTATCTACTTATGATGGAGAGTTCTAAAATCCATCTCTTTCTGCCCGACACTCATTCTCTGGCATGAAATTTCGTACCCTACAGTTTGATATTGTAAATGTTTTTTAAGCACGATGAAAATTTCTTTTCGAGTTTAATAAAATTAAAGAGAAAATTTAAACAAAATGTATTTTAATGTTTGCTTTCACAGGGAGGGGGACACTTTAAAGAACACAATAAATTAACAAAATTGTTTGTTTACTGATTCTTTCATGCACTTATTTCTGCGTTTTAATTCAGATGACCCATTTACGTGTTTCGAGAACATTTTTCCGATTTACAATAAAACCTTTGGGATTTCAAACATTGAAAATCGTCAACATTTTCTCGACACCTCAAACAACTTTAATATTATACTAACAGATTTCTTAAATACACTGATAAAACACATTGAAACACACATTGTAACTTGTGTATTGGCCTTCTTGTGTTTTGTTCATCCTGTGCGCCGCGTGAGAATAAGTGGAAATGAGACAACTGACTTGGTAGCGAAATTGGCCACTAGGAAGCCAAAGATACACATCCCCGTGGTAGTACCTGCACTTGACACCAAGTTCTTTTATCTAACATTGTATTCCGAGTGAATAGAGTGGAAAACCTTATTTCATGGCTAATAGAATGGAAGAACTCTTATTTCAAACTCGCGAGGATCAATTCCTCAATAAATCGCTGGTCTTCGTCATTTCGCGGCATAAGGCGGCATATCTCCTCAGATAATTTCATTCGTCTGCATACCGGACACTGTCACTGTCACGATGAAGATAGTCCCATATTCAGTTATTGCTCTGTTTTTTGGAAATTGAAAAGGCTACAAAATTGAAGATACCTAAGACAAATTCTGTTGTAAATAATTAACTCTTTAAAAAAGATCATGTACAATTTTTTGAAAAAACTAGTAGTTTTTGCGTAATTTACGGTGCTATTCTCATATTCGGTTATTATTTGTATTTTCGACAATTGCAAGAAACATTTAAAACCTCAAATTTCGACTCGAATCCTAGGACTTCCAGATGAAGGGCGCTGTAGAGGCAACATACTTACCTATCATGATGGCAGCTCTGTTCGTGGTGCGTTTGGCGCGGTAAGTGAGCGGCCTCGTCACCGAGAAGTATCGATCGAAGCTGATGATGAGCAAGTTGAGCACCGACGCGTTGCTGGCGAGGTAGTCGAGGGCCAGCCACGTGTCGCAGATGTGAGGCCCTAGCGGCCAATAGCCCAGGATGGTGGACACCGTGAACAGCGGCATGGATATGAGCCCAATGGCAAAGTCCGCTACAGCGAGGCTGAACAGGAAGTAGTTGCTAATAGTTTGGAGTTGCTTGTCGATTTTGAAGGAAATCATCACCATGGAGTTTCCCACGACGGTGATCATACTAAGGAAGCCCGCTACGATGGCGATTATCACCATTTCTGGAATGGAGTAACGCCCACCCGGCGACTGTGAAAGAAACAATTAGTTTACAGTTGGTCCATATCTTCGTTTATGATCGCTCCTAAAAAATTACACAGAATAAATTTCAGATCTCAAGCATTACTAATTATGTAATAATCTTTAAAAAGATAAAGCAACCTAGGCATCTATCAGGTAAATGCAGTAAAGCTAGCTATGTGCTTAATGATTGTAATAGTTTTCATGGCTGACCATACGTTAAATAAAACCGATTCACTGATAAAACACGTAAATTCAAATAATTAATTATGAAACAATCTAACTGCCAATCAAATTTTGATTGGTAGTTCAGTTGAAGGCATAGAAATGTAAAAATTTGAAAACTGTTGTATCCAGGAAAAACAGAATGTAATAACATTTAAAAGTTTTACTCAATTCACAGGCAGATTTTTTACAACCCGACATATTCTTTTTCAACTAGAACAATGTCCAGAAACGAAGCACACAGCGCCTGCTGCTCCGGTGGTGGTGCTCGGCTTATTCTCGGCCCGCGCAAGGCCTCGCCTGTTCGCTCCGGCCGCTGGCCGCTCGTTCCCCATTGGCCGGCGCTTCTGCTGGTACGCCGTCCTAACAAACGTCTGGGAAGCTGTTTCGCGCTGTCTCGACGCGATTTTTGAAATGCCGCATACAGCCGCAACAAAAATTACACGACTTCGGCAAATATGAATTAATCTGTTGCACCTCTAGGTCACATGGCTTATCCTAATTTCTCATACCAAAAGTATCGTCTTCTCGATATTCTCTGAAGACATAACGCTGATCCCCCCAGCGACCGGCTCGATGAAACCGTTATGCTCTTCTCGGAGACGACACACAGCCGTCTGATGCGGGCAACTCATAGGCCCTTTACGTATTTAGTCATTTTCCATGAAAGGAAATTCTTCCTTGTAGTATTCTCGTATTCTTTGTCTTCTAAAACTTTGTCTTCCTTCATCTACATCTACGCTTTTCTCTTCGCTTTCTCTCCATCTTTCTGTTCGTCCTTCTCTTCTCTTTCTCTTCGGCTTTCTGTTCGATTTCTCTTCGAAAAACGTTATATGTACTGGAGTTATATCGACGCCACCTATACTGTCATAGACCAATATCGTATATCATTACTCTATGATACTGCTTTTCACGTCATGAAGGCACAATGTGTCTTATGGAGAATCCACGCGTTGTTGCCGTCGAAACTCGTTCGCTTGCACGCTCGCTCTAGCTTACCTTCCTCAATATGCGCAGCTACTGAAAAATATGTATTTGCACACTTTATTATTATTATTATTATTATTATTATTATTATTATTATATCTATAATATTTTGATTAAGGAAATTTGTAATAAACAGCAACATTTTACTTATATTCTCTTATAAAATGAAAACAAAATGGTAAATTCCTGATTATGCCGTCAAATATTGATTAATTAATTTACGCAATAAGCGAAACATTACGACCAACATTTATCCGTTTTTCATCTTAGTACTTTATGTTCCTCTTCTCATTTCTAAACTGTCGCATTTCCCGTAGATATGAAAATCGGACAATGTTATATCATTCCTTTCTATCATTATGGTCTTTTTTCTCCGCATTTCAAATTGAAATACCATTTCTATCAATAAGCGATAAAGTGTAGAATATTTTAAATTTGGTAAATGTTTGTTATTAACATATTTCATTACACACACCGTTGTTGCGTAAACAGTTTAAAATAGAAACGTATGGACGTACCGTGTATAAAATCGTCGCTCTTGATTTCCCTACTTCATTCCAGTAAAATGTATTTTTCTCGGTTTGTTATTTGTCCACTCTCCTTTTCCTTTTTCATGTTAAAAGTGGAACAGCTGCTGATGCCTATTGCTCTGCGAAATTCATTCACGCGATTGACTCCGTTTTCGTATGGTCATTTTACGTTCTCGAATCTTTTAAAAATATTTTTTACCAATTTTAATTATTTACCATTTTCCCTACTATCCATTTTGATTTCTTAAATTAACACACTACATAATTACTAAATGACATACCTACTTTTCTATTCCACTGCACATCCACCATCTCACATGAGTGAAGATGGTGGATGTGCCCAGGTAAGAGAAGTAAAAATCGATTGACCAGAATACCCACCTAGATGAAATTCTCGAAAGGGCTTCTGGTGATCATTCGAGTACTTATTTGGATGGTCCATTACGCTGATAACCTCATATAAACAAACAGTTCCTTTCAGCCCTACAGATCACACATTCTGCATCAGTGCATTGTCTTTTCGTCAAGCCCGTCAAGCTCTTTCGTCGTCGTCTTACGGCGCGCTGCTTATCCTCACCACCCACACCAAACGCTCAGAAGGAATGCATGATAGAAAATAATTTCATCATTTTACCCAAAAATCTGCCCCTTATTAATTAGATTTCAAGAAAGAAATTTTCTTATCGACGATATATTCTAATGCACAAACTAAACATTCACACATTTTCGCTGGCAATTCAATTTTTAAAGCGTCATATTTTGACATATTGTTAAAACGAAAGCATTTTCTCCAGCTGAAGTAACTCAAATATTGTATAATTTTTATCTGAAATAATTCCATTAACTTTTAGACATGTTTTAGTGGTTTGAATTAAAAGTTGTTTAAAAAGTCAATTCCGCAGAAATCCAACGTTTTCATTACTTTATTTAAAAATCAAATGAGCGACATTTTTTATGATTATCATCGTGTTTCTACATTTCTTCTACTTACTTTTCCACTAATCAATTTGGCAACAGTTTACGAGATTCTTCCATAAGATTGACATTGTCCATAAAAGACCATTGTCCTTCACGGCATGAAAATGAGAAAACATAGATCTATTTAGGTGGCGTTGGTTTAATTCCCGTAATACTCATCAAGTTCGCAGCGTCAAAGCGAAAAATGCGAATCTGGAATTATTTTGAATCTTGTAGCCGGATCCGAAAACAAATGATGAGTTCGCCACAAGGAGACCGAGACGCTTCGAATGTCACCTCGTATGTCCCGATTGATGCACGGGAAGTGGTCTAGCCGTGAGTGACGGATCTTCATATCCGCACACTCGAGTAGTTATTCAAATACTATGTAGGGATTTATTTCCCCATATCAAAGCACCTCAAATCATTCTCCAATTTACATTCATTTCCTCGAATTTTTCGACAAATTCAGCGCTTAGAAGCAAAAATCAGTAATAAAGCAGAAGAATATTCCCCAATGTTCAAAAGGGGGACCCCTATCGGAGGACCCTTGAGGGTTCTGAGTTTTGTAAAGACGGTTCGCGAAATTAATATTGTTTTTTAAAACTTAATAATCTCTTGTGTGTACATTTATACACAAGATCATATCAATGGTCTATTTGCAAAACCTCGTAAGTTTGAAAATTGACGATAATAGATTTTTTGGTATTGTTGTATTCATTTGGCTGTCTGGCTCACATTGACGAGCACTCAGAAGGCAAAACCACATTGTAGTACTCTCTATCGTCGATTGAAAGTACCCAGTGTTTCTCTGGCTGATAGAGTAACAATCCAATTTTTTGTCTCACCTGAAAAATTACTGAAATCTGATAAGGAGGTTTTGCAAGTTCACCATCGATGTGTATCGTCTCCTACATTAGTTCAGTAGTTTTTACAAGTTTTGCGAATCTCACACTGAACCAATCTTTATAAATGAGATATGTAAAAAAAGAGAATTTCACGTAGACGTGACAAATTGCACTTTGACTTTAAAATTATGAATGATTTGTTTAAAAAACGCATTAACATTCCGGTTCGGCTCTTACCTATAGTACCAATGCCACCTACATTTCAACACTTGGTGATAGTGACTATCTTTGTGACGACATGCTTAAAAGACTTAGATTCCTCTAGCTTATTTTATTTACGCTAACCATGCTTACACCATGGTTTGTGCGGACTGTCGAGGGTTATTTGTATAATTAATAATTTAAAAAATAACAAATGTCCTCACTGTTGTCTCTAAATTAAATTCTGTATTATGGAGTCAAAACATAAGTATATAAAAGAAGAAACACATATTTAAATCACTGGTGGAAAGCTGTACAATATATGGAGTGGAAGCCTGGACCTTAAACAAAAACATGAAAAACAGAATAAATGCGGTAGCAAATAGCTTTTAGATACGAAGCCGCAGGCTCATCCTACAAGATGCAGAGTGCAGAGTGCAGGCGTGTGAACTCCAACTCATTTTCAGATTGAAAAACACCGACCGCTATGGTATGGACATCTAAGGAGAATGTCTGAATGTTTGTGAATGGACTCCAACAAAAAGGAGAAAAGGAAGACCACCCAAAAAATGGAAAGACTAGGTATTTGAATCCATGAGGTTAAAAGACATGGATGAAGTACAGTGAAAGGCCAAGAAAATAAGGCTCAAGAAGGAATTTGAAATAGACAAATAGACGGAATTAGCTGTAAAATGTCGCTACTATATATATATATATATATATATATATAATACTATATATATATTATATATATATATATTATAATATGTACTATTAGTAGCAGAATTTCTGATAAAATAATTGAGTAAAGCAGACCTAAGAAATTTGTACTAGAAAAACATACGGCGTGCAACGCGCAGCCCCCTTTCTTGCACACGCACGTCCCCTGACCATTTTCGAAAGTTTCATGAACTACCTCACCCAACATCCGAACAAGGGTTAGAACTGCTACAAAAGCGCCCACGGCGAGCCCACAGCTGGAATACTCCCGAAACGCCTGTCATCGTGATCGGGGCATCCCGAAGCAATCAATCAGTAGGCCGGAAGCCGCTTAGAGACGTGACTACATTTCGAAACAGAGAACGGAAAATCCTTATGCTCCGCCGGAGCCTATTGGCAAATTTATGTAGCAACCGCATCACTTTCGCAATAGCGAAGCGATTTTGTAGGGAGCAAGAACATATGCCAGGAGGAAAGGTGGGATAAAAGTTAAACCTCTGCGTGTAAGGAGAAATAAAGACATTAGACAGAGAGACTTCTCT